GTTAGAAGACATTAGGGTTTACATTATGAAGAGATGGGATGCCAACAGGACAAAGATGACATCATATCAAGGTTCAATTTGCCCTAAGGTTTTGAACAGATTTCAGAAGGAGTCATGGTTAAGTAGATATTGGTTACCAAGGTAACTTTTATAATGTCTGTTTCCATTCATGTTAAGTCTGTTTCCATTCATTTTAGGCATTTATATTGATCTAGCTAACTGTGTTGTCAATTTTGTATTAAATACAAGTGGTCAAGACAAAAATTATTTGAAGTGAAACATATTTCACAATTTGGGCAGCAATTTGTTGTGAATGTTGACAGCATGGACTGCGCATGTAGAAAATAGGCAATTACTGGCATTCCTTGTACTCATGCCATAACTGCAATGAAATTTTTTAATATAAATGCAGAAGAATACATTGGACACTAGTTTAGGAAGTCTACCTATGAAGAGACTTACAACACAATAATTAACCCTATCAATGGTCAACATGTATGGGATGTTACAACCTATTCAGATATATTACCACCAAAGAAGAGACAATGCCAGGAAGGCCCAAGAAGAAACGAAGATTGGAGGATTGGGAGTTGAAGAAGAATGAAAGTGAATTAAGAAAGGGTGGGCACAGGAAAAAATGTGCCATTTGCGAAGAACTTGGACACAACAAAAAAGGTTGTCCACAAAGACCTCCAACAGTAGAGGTTCCTACTGCCCAATCTGCTGAACAAACAAAAGTCACCCAACCTCCACCAACAAATGTTCCAATAACTTAAGAATCTACTATGCTTGGTACTGACCAATGTCCTGAACAACCAGAACCCATCCAACCTTCAACAACTATTACTCACGAAACAACTATGCATGTATCTCATGAATGATCTGATGAATGATCTAATGTACTGAACTTATTTATATTTTGTAGCAAATGTTTGCTCTATCATTTTGAACACACTCTGTTATGATGTAATCTTCATGTATTTTGGATATGAAAGTTGATGTATTTTGGATATGTAAGACAATGGTCTTATCATTTTGAACACATTTTGTTATGATGTAAAACAATGATTTTGGTTATGACAAAGTGATTATTTCCCAATTTCGTTATCAATCATGATCTTTATTGCTCATTGCTTTATGATGTTTGTGATTATTCCACTTAATCAGTCATGATTTTGCTTTATGATTATTCGACTTAAATTACCAATATAATTAAAAGAAATTAAATTAGACACATTATCACTATAATCACTCACCTTCATAAATAAAAGACACATTACATAAAATCCAAGTTTCAACAATGAAATCAAATGAGACAGTATCAACCAAGTTTCAGCAACATTGCTAATACAATTACATTCAAAATAAATATCACAAAGATCATCCCTACTAAGAATTTTAACCACTTTTCAAACTTAACTAAACTTTTCTCTATAAAAGCCATTCTGATCTTTTCACCATATCTTTCTTCCATCTGCAGCACACTATATTCCATGCTCATCACACCCACTTCTTCATTTCTTACACTACCACTCTTTTCTTCTACATTCAGCCAATTTCCTTCATTTCCTTCTTCAATGCACCACTGAAAGAAGTTGCAGCCAACTAATTCTTCACTCTCACCCTGTTCAACAAGAACACACACTCCTTCGTGAAAACCCAAATAAATAGACAAAGATTTATGCTTATGTAAAACTGGCCTTGATGTTAGGGCAACCCCAAAATTTTTCCCCCTTGTTTTTAGGGGTTCTCGCAATACTGAACATTGCATTCTGACCATAGAAGCATGTTGGTTTTGCACCTAACCTCCTAAGACTGCCACTACTGTGTTGCATGGCCGAACCCAAACATTTGCAAGAGGAAGATGAACAAGACATCCTTACCAGCACCTCAACACCACAGTGCTTGGCGAAGATGAAAGACAAAAGACGAACCTCTTCTTCCCCAAGACGAAAATATACTTTGGATGAGAGGGGATGCCCTTAAATGTTAGGGCTTGGTCGTCCGCTTGGATAAAACACAAGAGTCATTCAATTTTAGTGCACAATGCCACGTCGATAAAAAAAAAATACAGCTCAGATACATTTAACACCGTCTAAGACCAGTTAACGGTTAGAGTAAAATGTGTTCAATTTTACAAAAAATATGACCAAATTAAAATAGATGAAAAAATGAGGACCGAAATGAGATTTTCATACAAAAATGAGGATCAAGGGAGGGTTTAAACCTTTTTTTATTTAAGGCAAATACATTTAATTTAGTTTGAGTTATTTTGTAGTTTTTAGTTATTCTTATTGTTAGAAAAATCTTTGTTCTTGTTTTAATTAAGAATTTTTCCTAATAAATACTTGAGGCTAGTTTGAATATACTCTATCCAGGAAAATCTTAGTACTTAAATTGTTCATTGTGGTGCACCTCTCTTTCCTGGGAGTGGGCCCAAACAAAGTCTCTCGTATCTCTTATTTGAAATCTTTCTCTAAAAAAAGAACAAAAGAAAAAGGGAAGTGAAGAACAAAGAAACAACTTCAAGTAGACTGCATAGTGCATGACCCGAGCTAACCTGGAAGAATTTTATCAAATTAACCCGAAAATTGAAAGGAATTTGTGTGAGCTGCATAAAAGTTTGAAATTTGGGTGTTCTATTGAGGGAACACTTCCTACATCTGAAGTCATACCACCTTCATTATCTCTAATCACAGATATATCCTTTGATCTTTCAACTGATCCTAACCCAAACAAAATGGCATAAAAAACCATCAGACAGTTAACCACCTCCAACAGTAAAGTTATCAGAAGTAACATTGAATACCCTAATGAGGAATGGAAGTTGAGACCTGACTTATTAAATGCTCGACCTAAATTCAATGGGTTGTCAAGAGAGAATCCACACAAGCAGAGACAATTTCACATGTTGTAATATATGAATTGAATATTTTCTACTTTGATTATATTATATCTTTGTATAATAGTTGTATATGAATGTTTAAGTTATCATTAACTCACTCTCGTTTGTTTATTAGTTACTTGTGTGTCTTTTACAATTATGGCTTCTATAACATGAATAAATAAGGGTGCATTTAGAAATGGTTCTAGCTAGTAGGTTGAGAGCTAAAACTTTAAAACTCTTTTGAAAGAATGTACATGAATATATGATATGATGCAGTTTAATATTCTTATCCCTTATTTCGAAGGATTTTAGTAATTTGTATGTTTTAAAAGACTTTAATTTTGTGGTAGGAGTGAAAGTACACTTTATTTTAAAATTTCATATTTTTTAAATTCTATTGTTTTATAATCACCTAATTTTGTAATTTTATATTTATTTATTTTATAATTTTTTATTTTCATAATTTTATAATCTTATAATTTTGTAATTTTATAATTTATTAATTTTGTATTTTTTTTTATTTTTATAATTTTTAATTTCATAATTTTATTATTTTATAATTTTATATTTCATAGTTTTATAGTTAAATATTATATACATTTATAATTTTATATTTTACATTTTTCTATTTTTTGTATTTTGTAATGTTATGCTGTTAATTAAATTTAAAAACAATTATCTTTAAATACAAGAAATGTCGTCATCATGGTTTTTTTAGCAAAGTTCTACGGGGTGACATTTAAATATTGTGATTATGCAAAATAACTGTCATATCATATGTTAACAAGAAGGATATCTAACTATTGAATTAAAAATTTTAAAATTTTGAAAATTCATTGAACCACAAAAATTTAATAAGTACTCACTTGAAAATTCCTAAATTTATCTAGTGAAATATAATCAATTGAAATCTTTTGAAAGATATGTAATGTTGTGAGTCTAAGTAGTTATAGAATTCATTAAACGGTGAGACACCATAATTAACAATGCAATTAAGCTATAGAAAACTATTATATGACTGAAGAAAATCAGTACCGGGTTAAATTACAATTGTGGTAACATGTGTGAAGCACAATGAGTACCAAATATTTTGTGATTGAAGGGTAATACTCATTACATGCGGTGCAAAGAGACCCACATGCTCCAAAACCAGCTGAATGGTGCAAGTTCAAAGATTCCACTTCTGTTTTCTCCTTTCCACCGAATTTAAATTAAAAAAGAGTACCAAATTATTAAAAAAATCTGTATAATGCTACATGTCCCAAGTCCACTACCACCCTCAACGTTGAAAGGTACTTGAAGCCAGAACATCCTAGTACCTCTGGGGTCTTTGAGGGTGTCTCTGTTGTCCAAGGTTTGCACCAATTATCCACTTCCTATCTGAATTGCTTCTTTCAATTGGTAATGTTATTGTTCGGCGAGTTATCTCAACTGGGCACGCGATTTTGCTTGCAAATTTGATTGAACTTGATCTTTCTGGTAGTCTCATTGCAGTGTAAGAGTCAAAGGTTTAAATTAAATTACAATGCTTTGATTCCATTGGCTTTAAATTTCTCAGTAAAATTGTCTCTCTCAATTGGAGTATTGAGTTACTCTGTTGCTTTGTCTGTACGATGTTCTTAAGTTTTGTGTTTCTGATGATGATTAATTGGTGATTGATAGTAAGTTTGGGAGTTACTACTATGAAGCTCTAATCCTTTTGATAGTTGGTCGTAGGATTTTCTTTTTCTTATTTTTGATATATGATAATGAATTATCTAAGATGAAACTGGGAGGGGTGTTCAGGCAAACGGGCTAGTCTATGATGGGAGAGACACCCACATTTAGTACTTGTTCGAATCACGAGAAAGATTGATCGTTGTTATTTGAGAAAATAAACAAAAAATTACATCTGAGATGGGGTTCATCAAATTTATGTTTTTTTAGTTGGTTTGGTTTCCTGTATTGTGTTGGCCCTGTTTAACCACTCAACATGACACGTTTGCTGTCTTACCGATTCTGTTCAGCCTTTGTTAAGGGAAAGATATGGCATAAGCATATGGAGCTGTTGCCTGATTGATGTAATTTCGATTATTTGTTGTTTTTCATTTGAATTTCTTTATACCATTCAGAATTTTGATCACACCCTTCAGCCTCAACCTGTCCTCTCCTTAGTCTTCTTTGAAGCCTTGTTTTTATGAGATTCCATTGATTTTCTGAATTAAGTACCAACTTGACATGTACTGTTCCTTTTCTTTTATGTTGATGTTTTGCAAGGTATCATCATCTTGAATGGCAGTAATAATGGCTTTGCATGGTTATTGTTACAACAATATAAAGTTGGGAAATCAGCGAAGAGCACTACACAATCTCAGTTTTCCAGGCTCAATTTCAGTTCGTAAATTGCCAAAGAATAGAAGGTCAAAATCTGATAAGTCAGAGAATGATAAATTTCCTAGATTCCTGGTTGAAATGCGACAGACAGGATTGCCTCCATCAAAATATGGTACAAATGGTAGAGTTGTTAAAATGGTTCCAACAAATGAGGTAGTGAAAAGAAAGACAATGTTAGAGAATAAAGTGGAAATAGGGAGCAGTTCAAAGCAAGATGTTAATGGAGCAAGTTTAGTAAGAAGGGACCCTAGCCTGGCCTTGACAAAGACAGTGAAATCTGGAACCTCTAAAGAACTTCCACCACTAGAAGAGCTAAAAGTTTTGCCCTCGGATGAAGGCTTCAGTTGGGCCAATGAAAATTACAATTCCGTGCAGAGATCTATTGATGTTTGGTCTTTTGTTCTTTCTTTACGTATTCGAGTTCTATTGGACAATGCAAAATGGGCATATTTGGGTGGCTTTACAGAAGAAAAGCAGGTAGGTTATGGAAGTTATGTCGTTGCCAACTTCTTCTCTTCTGACTTCAGTCATTTCCGGCAGGGATCCTCTCAACAAAAATTTCTTCAGCCCTCATCCCTATTAATTTTCTAATTAAGTTTCTGTTGTGCTTTTCCTTTGCTGATTCAAAGTAATTTGACATTGTATTTCAGAAAAGAAGAAGGCAGAAAACTGCTGCATGGCTAAGGGAGTGTGTATTACAGCTTGGCCCAACTTTCATTAAACTTGGACAGTTATCATCAACAAGGTCGGATCTATTTCCTCGGGAGTTTGTAGACGAGCTTGCGAAATTGCAGGTACATTTGTAGGGTCTAGTACTCAATTTGGGTTCCTATTTGACATACTTTTAGAGAAATTCTATTAGCAAGGAATTCACTGTATTTTGAATTTTACATTTCACTTTCTTTTTAATGTAGTTACAAGTTAGTTACAGATGCTTACAGTGCTGACTTAGGATTGAGTTACGCTCATAGCTATTTATAGCTATCTCTGATGTAATCACAGTTAATTTTGAATCATATTTTTAGTTCTCTCTCTTGTCTTCCTATCTGTTCTTTATATCTCTCATTTGCAATACTTATTAATAGTTTTTAATCTTAATACAACATTCTGCAGGACAGGGTACCTGCTTTTTCTCCTAAGAAAGCAAGAGGCTTTATTGAGAGTGAATTAGGAGCACCCATTAATGTATTGTTTAAAGAGTTTGAAGATCGGCCCATTGCTGCTGCTAGTCTTGGTCAGGTGAATTATGCCTATGCTGACAATCATATTTTTTTTTATTTCTTGTATTCAAGCTAATGATCTTAATGCGTTGATGTTAGTGGTGGCCTTTCTAGTGCTAGAACTCTAAATTTGAACACAACTTCGTGACATTACAGACAATCAAACGAGATAACTCAGCTTTTTTTACTTCCAATTTTTGGAGCCCTATTTGTAGGTTCATCGAGCTATATTACACAATGGAGAAAAGGTAGTTCTCAAAGTCCAAAGGCCTGGACTAAAGAAGCTTTTTGACATTGACTTGCGTAAGTTGTGGTCATTTTGTTTCTTCCTTTTGCTACGTCTTGTGATTTTGATATAGTTATTGTCATCACACTTGAGATGGATCAAAGGAAATCTAAATTATTTGAGGAAACTCTACATGATTTGCAATCTCTAATATTAGGGGATTTAAAACAAGGTGTCAAATCCTAATAATTTACAAAACAAAATATAATGCCCCCAATATAAAAGGTTTTTTCTCTAAATAGGATATACTTTCTAATATTCTTTCTCATAATAGAGCATACAAAATCAAATGCAACTTTTAACATGAACAGTGGCTTCTGGCACATTGAAAGGATACCTACAAGTTAATCACTATACTTCAGTTTATTCTTATAAGCTCACACATGAACATTTTCTTGGCTCAATACATGGTCTCTAAACTTCAACAACTACATTTTGCTTCTTACTTTGCCTAGATACAAGATTTACAATACACAAAAATACAATATTCCAATTTAGACTACCCAGCAATAGATTAATCACCCTATCTGCATTGAAGTATTCCAAACTTGAACATTTCATTTGTCTTTATATAGCAATCCTTGACCCAGACCATTCTTAATGTATTCGAAGATTCATAGGACTGCATTCCAATGATCAACACATGAAGATAGTGTAAAATGACTCATCGTATTGTCTGTCAAGGAAATATCTAGTCTAATTATTACATTAAATAAGTAGATATGATATGATTTGATAAGGAAATTTCTTACCAAATATTTACCCATTCTTACACATTGATTTTGTTTTGATCCTTATTATTGTATGTCTTCATTATAAATACGAATACTAATGTGTGTACGTAATATATGGAACTTATAATATTTTTTCTCGGTTTCTCTTCTCAACATGGTCCCAAGCAGTACCATCCTCTATGACCTATTTTTCACTAATCCTTTCAACACTAATGAAGTATTGAAGTTTCCCAAGCCTTGATCTACAGTACTAATGTAATTGGGATCAGATTTCTCATTGTGATGCTTATGCTAATAAAAAGTCTAATAAATATAAATATTGTTTTTAGGTAGCTTTACTTTAATAATCTAGTCTGGTCAATGATCTGAATGAGTTATTTCTTACACATGTTTTGAGCTTTAGTAGTACCAGTTGTGGTCAATTAGTGAGGTTAAAGCCTGGTCATTGTTGAAACTTTGTTTTACTCTAACAAGTTTCCTTGTCATGTCCAGGAAACTTAAAGCTGATTGCAGAATATTTTCAGAGAAGTGAAACTCTAGGGGGTCCAACAAGAGATTGGGTTGGTATCTATGAAGAATGTGCAACGTAAGTAATACAAACATTATGTTTTAAGCAAATTTCTTCTTCCCTCATTGCACGTTAAAGTCATAGACTTTTACTAACTTGTTTTGGCCTTCATTTTACCTACTATCATTAATTACTGTCATTGGAATTGTCCCTTATGTATTTTATATTATCCTTAACATGTCTTATGTAATTTATATTGTCCTGCACATGGTACTTTTCAGGATTTTGTATCAAGAAATTGATTATATAAATGAAGGAAAGAATTCTGATAGATTCCGCCGAGATTTTCGAAACATAAAGTGGGTCCGAGTACCTGTATGTTTCTTGTTGCCATGCTATACTCTGCTGGATATTTTTATTCAGATAGTTTCAGTTTCCTTGAAACTTAGTTTACCTCTCCAATCTTCCTAATCTCCTTTAAACATGTATCTAGCACATATAAATCACTAATGTCTAGAGCTAATGTTAATTTTTACTACTGCATCCTTCGTTTTCACCTTTGCAGCTGGTTTATTGGGATTATACTGCATCGAAGGTATTGGCATTGGAGTATGTACCAGGTTGTCAACTTGACAAGTGCATCTTGTTTTCTTCTTTTTCTTTAAAAGTGGAAGCTACAATAATTAACTTTTTCCCTTCAAGTTGTATATCATTATATCGTTGAACTTTGCTTTTACTTTTTGAAAATAGGTATCAAAATAAATGAAGTGGATATGTTAACTTCACGTGGTTATGATCGATTACGAATCTCATCACACACTATTGAGGCATACTTGATTCAGGTCCACATTGTTGTTTCGCTCTGAAACTTTAAATATTCAATATTGTCATCTTTTGGGTTCGTGTGAATGTTTAATAGCGTATATATGCCTATGTTTTAATAAACATACAAAAGACATTTTGCTTCAAGATAGTTGTAGATAAAAGGTATTTTGAGTATTAAATCTTGCTTGTTTTTCAGATATTGAAAACTGGTTTCTTTCATGCTGATCCACATCCTGGAAATCTTGCCGTTGATGTTGATGAAGCAATTATTTATTATGACTTTGGTATGATGGGGGAGATAAAATCTTTCACCCGAGAGAGGCTGCTTGAACTGTTCTATGCTGTCTATGAGAAGGATGCCAAAAAGGTCTAGTTTCTACTTTGATTGCATCTTTGTAAACATGGGAGACATTATCACAACAAGTACTTCCCATCTGATGTCTTGATAAACTAATATCAAAATTTGTTTTCTATTGTTTCTTCATGCTTCTTTCTTTTTGTAGACATGTAAGATTACATGGAGCTTGATATATATCAAAATATGAAACTTGTATAGGAATTATATGTTAGCAAACGTTAATTTGTGTGCAATGTTTAGGGAGAAATTTACTGTTTGAGAGATGAATACAAGGTAAACAATGATGGATTAGCAAACCTTTGTGCACCAATCTCCAAAGCTTAGCTCTGAGGGAAGTGTCCTCTATTCCTTTTAGGAAAATTTCCCCTTGAAGTGGGAGAACTCCGAGAGGAGATGCTAAGGACTTTCCTATTTGGATATACACCAAGGTTTAGCCTTAAGTCCTTGCATGTCTAACCTAGTCTTGGATGTGCTTATCAAGGACATACAAAAGAGTTTCCTTATTTTTGTATTTTTTTGAGCATGATATAGTCTTGATTGAGAAATCAAGGGAAGCAATTAACATTAGGCTTGAACTTTGAAGGAAAATTTCGGAAACATAGGGTTTTCATTTAAGTAGGAGTAAGACAGTATATGCAATGCAATTTTAGAAAGACATAGGAGCAAGATGACTCATAAGTAAAGTGGGAGAATATATCATCATACCATAGGTTTTTAAGCTTAAAGTTGGGTTCAATCATGCAAAATGATGGAAAAAAGGAATGATAATGTTACAGACGATACAAGATGGATAAAACGAGAAAGGTATCAGAGGTTATTTGTGATGGCAAAGTAACCATCAAATTCAAAGGCAGGTTTTATCACACAACTATATGCCCAACTATACTCTATGGTAGTGAATATTGGACTATGAGAGAACAACATGAAACAGGTGGGAATAGTAGAAATAAGAATGTTATGATGGATGTGTGAGCATACAAGAATGGATAAAATAGAAAATTATTATGTACAAGAAAAGATTTGTGTAGCACCAATTGAGGAAAAGATAATAGAAAATTGGTTAAAAAAGTTCTTAAGAAGTAGATTTTAAGCCTAACTCAATATTCTACAAAACCGGCTTGTAAGATGAGATCTCTATCGATTTATTTATTTAACATTTGTCTTAATTGATATGGGATCTCCAACAATGGTTGTACAAAGAAGACCATAAGAAATATCCATCAAAAGAGTTGATTGCATGATATTTAATATTGAGAAAAAGGAAGAGGGATACCAAAAAGGACTTTGGAGGAAGTTCTCAAGGGAGTTTTCTTGCTAAATAGTATTCCTAAAACTTTGGTTTTTAACCAATCTCACATGAGACTTTGTTGTTGTAGCCTATACTAGATTTCTACTTTGCTAGGGATGACAACCAAAAAACAAATTATTATAGTAGAACAAAGAAATTCAATAACATCCTTTGTAAGGTTAAACGTAACAATTTAACAACCATTTACTAACATCTTTTATTTGAAACATATTTAGCTGATTTATTATTTTGTTCTTCACACCTAGAATTCCTTCTTTGTGTAAACTCTCAAATAAGGGGCTTAAATATTCCGAGGGTCTAAAGTTTTAATTGTCAATTAATAGCATGGTAGTTGCTCACAAACCAACTATCCAAAATGCACTCAGCCACCATCTACCGCATGTTGAAATCAATTGGTTATTAAAACATTGGGGTCACAAGGATAAATTTTAAACCCTTAAGGTATAAGGCTTTGATACCATATTAGAAATATGTAGTACCTAACCTAATTCTAATGCAACCCCAATATTGTGATATATTGAGAGGCATATAAACGTTTTTATTATTTAATTTGAGCATTCATGTGTCATCCATATTCATTTTGTACATGTTCGAATATTAATCAAGATTCATCAACATATTTAGCAGACATTGATGTTAAAATATATAGTAAATTTTTAATTATGATTGCTCATGTTAGCTAGTGATTAAGCAGTAAATTAGCTTAAAATTGTGTTCAAATCAGCACCTTCTTAGTTGTAACATCCCAATAAATAGTAATTACCATTAATCAGAACTAATCACATTTACAGAAAACAGTGCAGTCTTAACATTTACAACAGCTGCTCAAAACGATAAAACAGCATGTACAGCAAATTACAGTATTCAGAAATTCATAAAAGGTACAGAACCAGTTACTGGACAAACGTTCTGCAGAAATATACAGTCAACGTCCCAAAATGCTATACAAAAAGACTAACTACTACTAATACTGTATGAACAGCGCTGCAAACCTATACACAGAACTGTCAAAATACAGCACAAAAAACTAACTAATGCTACTACAGAAACGAGCCTTTACTGCTCAGCTTTAACTTCAACATCCACAAGGTTGGCATCCTCCAAATTTTCTTCTTCCAGCATGGTTTCAAGGGATGCATCTCCATCTGCTCACATCCACAACGGATGATCATTGCATTGACAAGACGGACGTACATAACAGTAGACAACACAAGGGGAAAGTTGCACAGGGTAAGCTTTAGGTAATTTAATTCAATATAAATCAACGTAATTTAACTTATAAATAAGTCATTTGCAGTTCATACAATATTAAACACATATCCCAGCATACAGTAACTCCTTCAAATTTATCATAATTAAAGATGTCCGGATTGATGGCATGATCTACAGGCGTTCTTGACCCCCCCCGGGTGGTGTAGTAACCGGAAATTCGCACAGTCAGCTGCCACCCGAGGTTTAACCCTATCAGTCACAAGTAACTCAATAGGACTAGTGGCCTCCTGCCATTCCCACGTATGACCTACTACCCCTCTCATAGGAGAGCATCACGGAATATCAGGATGAACAGCCATCAGCACTTTACCATGGTCATCTACTCTACACACTTTCCTCATATCACATATAGAGACGTTCCGCCTTGGAACGCTCTTTCATATCCAATCCAATAATCCATTCAAATACATTCGCACATATTCACAAATTTCGTCTACTTCAAATTATCATTCGTGTTCACTCTCGTTATTTAAAGCAACGGTCAGTCACCATACAATAGGGACGAACATATGACAGTACTCAAACGTTCAACGTTTCTGACAAAAGAAACTTACCATTATCACTTAACTCATTACAACACTTAATATTTGAAGAAAAAACTGATCTGAGGAAAAGATGGGTAATCCTTAGAAAAATCTTATATCACAGACTCCAGGGGTAGAATTCCAAAGGATTAAAGCCAATAAGAAAATATTAGATGAACAATCAAATATAATTGAATTCAGAAAAAAACAATGCCAGTCAAAGACGGAACGTTAATTAACAAATTTGCACGAACGCCATATACGTTCGCTCACGAAGCAATAATCAGACAGAGCGTTCCATTATAAGCAAACACTGCTCAGGAGAGCAGGTCAATGAACGACACAAAGATAACGAACGCACATAGGAACGAATGTGCATGGAAACGAACACGCATGGACAACGAACGTTCAGTATCAGACCGAACGCTAACTGGAACGAACCGCTCAATCTAACATTGAGAGTTCATTTGTGACGAAACGCTCAGTATAATACTAAGCGCCATTCATGACGAACGCTGGTAAACCAAACCCGAAGCGTCCACAACTATACTTCACTTTATATCTTTTAATGGTTGGACCCGCTAAGTTGAGCGAACGCTCAAACCTAACTCGCCACAAATAAGCTCGGTCGTATCCGAATCCCTCTCCAAATGAAAGAATTCTTACTCTAAGTATGTGTCCAGTGAAACCGACGGTATAAGACGTCGTTGACGAGCGTACAACACGATCATCAGAGAAAACCAAACGACTTTCACATTCCAGTTTTTTAACACGAGAATTTCACAGTTTTACATACGATTCATAACTTAGAATTTATCTTTAAATAAATCTCATGCTTCCAAAATTCCTTTATCAATCCATACAATAAACAGATCTCCCCATCTTCCAGCTTCAAACATATCATTATCAAACATACAGTTCAGATCCAAAATCATTCCAAATTATTGCAAATCAATCACATACAAACTCATACATTTCATTCACTGCATTAAATTTCATACAACATTCCTGATATACATCCATTTCAATTCTGCTTCATCACGCATATTCAAAATTCGCATAATTGATACATTTCAGACCTCCATCACAATTCTCATCGTCATCAGATCAAACATATATAAATTAATTACTAAAGCTTCCCTTACCTGGTCTAACACTATCACTTCCAATGCTTAGATTTATCTCGACCCTCACGGCTTTCCTATCCAGAATTCCATCAACCACTTCACTTATCTAATACACCAAAATCATTAAAGATCAGACTTCTAACTTCACATGCAACCACAAATCTTGTTTGCATGAACTAAACAGACAAGTGCAGGAACGAGAAACTTACCAGTTCAGTTCTCAGTTTGGTTCGGATCAGAATAACGCTCACGGTGCAGTGAAAGGCGTACTACGGTCTCTGAAATTAGATCAGAGGATTTGATAGTAAGGTATTTTAGAGAGAAGATGGAAGAGTGCAGGAAAATACAGAGAAGAGTAGTCAGAATCGTGAAAGAAGAAGAAGATTGACTGAAAGGAAGAGAAGAGTTTTTTCAAGACATTATTTTCTTCTCTCCCTCGTCAAACGGTTTTGAGCAGTTAACTCACTGCCACTTGCTTCCACTAAAACTTTTTAGAAGCTTCCAAAGTGACCATATGGCATTCGTGCATGCAGAGAGAAAGAGAGTGGAATTTTGACGTGGCAAGGTGGAATTACAAACAGTGAAATCAGGATGGATTTAAGTGATGTTAATTAATCAGGTTTCTCACATTCCCCCTAACTACAAAAATTTTCGTCCTCGAAAATTCTAAAGCTTACCAGGAAATAGGTGAGGATAAAATTCAATCACAGCCTCTTCAACCTCCCATGTTGAGTCACCAGTCTTTGCATTCCACACCACTTTCACGAGACGAACATCCTTTCCTTTGTAAAGTCTGGTGCGGCTGTCTTCCACACATACAGGTTGCATCTCCAGTGTTCGATCTGGACGAAGTTGGATGTCTTCTAACTCCAGTACATGTGATGGATCAGCTATATATTTACGGAGTTGAGAAACATGAAAGACTGGATGAAGGTTGGACAGTTGAGGTGGTAAAGCCAATTCATACGCTACTGCTCCAATCTTCTTTAAAATTTGATAAGGTCCAACGTACTTGGGTGATAGCTTCTTTGGACGAAGAACTCTTCCCACACCAGTGATTGGATTCAACCTCAGAAATACGTGATCTCCAGCAGCGAATTCTAAGGGTCTTCTTCTCCTATCTGCATACGATTTCTGCCTGCTTTGAGAAGTCTTCAAACGTTCTTGAATCAGTTTCACCTTCTCAGTTGTTTGCTGGATTAATTCAGGTCCAGTTACTGCAGTTTCACCTTCTTGGAACCAACACAAAGGAGTTCTACACTTTCTTCCATAAAGAGCTTCAAACGGTGCCATTCCTATGCTTGCTTGAAAGCTATTGTTGTACGTGAATTCAACAAGCGGCAGAACCTCATCCCATACTCCCATATGGTCTATAACACAGGTCCTCAACAAGTCTTCAAGAGTCTGGATGGTTCGTTCAGATTGACCATCAGTCTGAGGGTGATAAGCAGAACTCATTTGCAGTTTGCTTCCCAATTCTCCTTGCAATGACTGCCAAAAACGAGATGTGAATCTCGTGTCTCGATCTGATATAATGCTTGAAGGAACTCCATGCAATCTAACAATCTCCTTAACGTATAATTTGGCCAAGTTTGTCATGGACATCTTCAAGTTAACAGCTAGGAAGTGAGCGCTCTTAGTTAATCTATCCACAATCACCCAAATTGAATCATGGTTTCGGACTGT